TTTTGAAATTGTTTCATTGCTATTTTACATTTTTTCTCATTAAAATGAATTTTTAAAAATTTAAAAAATAAATGAAAATAAAAAGGTGAAGAAAATAAATAAGCAGTAACTGTTCCTTTCAATAGAACAGCAGAAATCAGCAGTGTAGTTATCCGAGCTATTCTTTAAATATACATAAACATATTTTTCCATTCCTTCTTTCTTTTTTCCATTTCCTCATCCAAGTTGTTCTTTCCCTTCGAACAGATTCTTTCTCTTTCATAGTATCTATTGTACTTTTCAGATTTTATTCACTCTTTGAGGCTCTTATGCTAGCAAGACAATATGATGTATGCACATGAGGGTCTATTTATTTCATTTGTGAGCCTGGTCTTTATTTATTTCATTTGTTGCATTCATTCACCTATAAAAGTTTTGAGTTTATCTTTTTTATAGATAAGCAATACTGCATTGTATAAAAATACCACATCATTTTTATCCATTCCTTGTTTGATGGGCATTTGGGTAATTGCTAATATTTAGCTATGACAAAATTGTGTTGCTATAAACATGGGTGCACATATAGCACTGTGGAAAGATATTTTCAGTTCTTCTGGAAAAATACCCAGGAGGACAATAGCTGGCTTGAATTGGACCTCCAGTCCTGTTCTTCTGAGGAATTTTCACACTGATTTTCATAGTGGTTTGCCAGTCTACACTAACAGTGGAGAAGGGTTCCTTTTCTCCAATAGCCCCTCTAGCATTTGTTATTGGTTGATTTCATGACAGCCATTCTTTATAGGGTGAGATGGAATCTCAGTGCTGTTTTAATTTGCTTTCCTCAAATGACAAATGATGTTGAACATAGTTTTGCATGGTTTTTTTTGTCATTTGTATTTTCTCATCTGAAAAGTAGACATGCATCTCAGATGCGCAATTTTGGATTGGGTCTTTGAATTTTGGAGACCTGATTTTTAAAATTATTTATATGTTCTAGATAGAAGTCCTTTGTCTAGGAACAGTTGACTAAAATTTTGTACCCAATTTGTGGGTTTTCTTTTTACTTCTTTGGTGATTTCTTTTGATGTACAGAAACTTTTTAAAAAGATGAGATTCCAGCTGTTGATTCTTTGAAGTATTTCTTGCATAATGTGGTTTTTGTTCATGAACTCTCTACCTAACCCTGTCTTTAAGATTTATACCTGCTTTCTTCTCTATTAGATTTACTGTTTCTGTTTTAATATTTAAATCTTAGCTCCATTTTAACTTTAGTTTAGTGCATGGTGATATGCATGGGTCTAATTTTAGTCTTTGGCAAGTGAAAAGTCAGTTTTTCTGACATCATTTATTAAAGAGGCTATTTTTCTTGCAGTGAACATATTAGGCCCCTTAGTCAAAGATAAGATGGTTGAGTGCATTTACAGTTGTGTTGCATATTCTATTCTGTTCCACTGATTCTCAGGCCTGTTTTTTTTTTTTTTCCCTTTTCTTTCTTTCTTTCTTTTTTTTTTTTTTTGCCAGTACCATGCTGATTTTATCGAAGTAGTTTTGTAGTATAATTTCAAGTCAGGAATTATAATCCCTCCTGCCTTTTCTTTGTTGCTCAGGATTGCTTTTGCTATTCTAGGTCTTTTCTTGCTCCACATGAATTTTAGGAACATTTTCTCTATATCCATGAGGTATATTAATGGTATTTTAATTGGGATTGCATTGAATCTGTATAGCAATTTTGGAAATATGACTATTTTCATAATGTTGGTTAAGTAAGGAATATCTTTCTATTTTCTAAAATCCCCTTCAGTCTCTTTTTTCAGAGTACTGTGCTTTTTACTGTATAAATCTTTTATTTCTTTTGTTAGATTGAATCCTAAGTATTTCTCTTTTTTTGATGTTATTGAGAAAGATATATTTTTCCTAATTTCTTCCCCAGTGCATTCATTGTTTTTCTGCAGAAATGGTGTTGGTTTTTGAGTGTTGTCTTTGTACCTTGCTATGCTTCTGAATTTGCTTATTAAATCTACAAGTCTTTTGGTGGAGTTTCTGGGATCTTTTATGTAGAGTATCACATCATCTATGAATAATGATAATTTCACTTCTTCCTTAACAATCATTATTCCATTTATTTTTCTTTCTTGTCTGATGACTCTGGCTAATGTTTCCAGAACTATACTGGATAGGAGTGGTGAAAACCAGGAACATCTATGGTTCCTGATTTTAAAGTGAAGGCTTTCAGTTTTTGTCCATTTCATATGATGTTGGCTGTTGGTTTGTCATAAATAATTTTTATTAGGTTGAGGTAAAGATCA